GAAATTAAAAGCCCAGACGTGTGATAAGCACTGGTTTTGTTAGGGTCACCAAAAACGGAACGCACAAGGCCAAAGTGGTAAGGGATTATAAATTTACTAGAGGCATGATGCACAAAATTTGTGCAAGAGTAGGCCTTCCTTCCCCCAGCTGCTGGCACTGGCTTCCCTCTGGCACCCAGGACCCAGGCTTCCTTCACAGCTCTGGCTTTGTCTGGAAGGTCATGGGGAAGGACATCTGGTCTAATTAGCATCTTACACTTTTATTATTACAGACTAGAGGCCTGGTGCACAAAAATTTGTGCACTCGAGGTGGGTTTGGAGGGGTCCCTCAGCCCTGCCTGTACCCATTTGCAGTCCAGGACCCCTTGGGGAATGTTCACCTGTTTACTTAGGCCCACTCCCTGGGGGATCAGGCATAAGCTTGAAGTCAGACATCCTCCTGGCATCCAGGGAGCCCTTGGGGGATGTTCGACTAAAGGCTTAGGCCCCTAAGGGATTGGGCCTAAACCATTAGTTGGACATTCTTGGTGCTGCCATGGAGGTGGGAGAGGCTCCTGCCACCACCTCTGAGCTGGCCAGCCATGAGCCAGCTTCTGGCTGAGTGGCACTCCCCATATGGAAGTGCACTGACCACCAGGGTGCAGCTCCTGCATTGAGCATCTGCCCCCTGGTGTCCAGTGCACATCATAGCAACCAGCCATTCTGCCATTCAGATTCCTCCTCTCTTGGAGAATTTCGAAGTCGTGATGGCTCAATTTGTATACTAGCCTTTTATTATTATTACTAGAGGTCCGGTTTACGGAATTTGTGCACTGGCGGGTGGGGTTCCCTCAGCCCAGCCTGCCCCTCTCACAGTCCGGGATCCCTCAGTGGATGTCCTGACGGCCACAGTCTGGCAGCAGAGGCTCGGAACAGGCGTCCTCTGTGTGTGTGTGTGTATGTGTGTGTGTTTGCTGGGGTCTGCCCCCAGCTGCACCACGTAGGCTTGGAGCAGTTGCCGTTTGTGCGTGTGTATGTTTGTGTGTTTCTGTGAGTATGTGTGTCCCCAGTGGGGGCCTGCCTCAAGCTGCATAGGAGGCTCAGAGCAGGTGCTCTGTGTATGTGTGTCTGCTGGGGCCTGCCCCCAGCCACACCATGGAGGCTAGGAGCAGGTACCCCTCTGTGTTGATCTATCAGGTTCCTGGACTCCACTGTGTATTTTACTCTCCCTTGAGCTGTGGTCAGGGTGGGGTGCTGCCTGCAGGCTGTGCTTTCCCGCTTATGGATCGCAATGGAGACCCAGAAGCAGGCCCACCTGGGGGCTGATTGCCCGCCACACTTTCCTGCTATGGGATAGCCATGGTGATCCAGGAGCAGGTCCACCTGGGTGCTGCCTGCAGGCTGCACTTTCCTGCTCTGGGATCCCCACGGTGACCCAGGAGCAGGCCTTGTTGGGTGCTGCCTACAGGCTGCACTTCCCTGCTCACCGATTGCTGGATCACCACGGCGACCCCATGGCAGCACTTTCCTGCTCTCGGATTGCCATGGGGTCCCGGCAGGTGGCGGTACTTAGCCAGCACACAGGGGTCCCGGCTGGGGGCAGGGCTTAGACAGCACGGGGCTTAGGCGGCACAATGGTCCCAACTGGGGGCGGGGCTTATGAGTCATTGGGCTTCAGCGGCACATGGGGGTCCCAGCTGGGGGTGGGCCTTAGGCAGTGCACTGTCCCACCCTGCCTGCATTATGCTGATTAGCCAATGGGAGTTGTAGCAAAGGTATGGTCAATTACCATCTTTGACTATTATTAGATAAGATTATATAGGATGTCCCTATTTGCCTACTTTTGCCCTGCCAGACCCTGACGAAACCCTATATACACTGATGGAAGCAGCTTTGTGGTTGATGGGACCAGGTACAGAGAAGCAGCGGTCATGACAGCTGACAAGCTAATCTGGGCCCAGGCACTGGGGTGCGGGACATCAGCTCAGAAGGCAGAGCTAATAGCCTCACCCAAGCTCTACGGTGGGGAAAGGGAAAGGCAGTGACTATATACACAGACAGCCGATATGCTTTTGCCACTGTTCACGTTCACGGGGCCTTATACCAAGAAGCGGGACTCCTAATGTCAGGAGGGAAGGAAATAAAAAATTTCCCAGAAATCCTTACCCTCCTTGCAGCCCTTTGGATGCCAAAGGCGGTGGCAGTCCTACACTGCAAAGACATCAGTCAACTGACACCCCAGAGGCACAGGAAATGCCTTCGCAGATAAATCAGCCAGGGAAGTCGCCCAAAAACCAGTGGGGCCCCGCCATATTTTACCAGCCCTCCCTGCAAGGGTCTTTGCAGAGACTCCAGTCTACTCAGAGGAGGCTACTGCGCTGGGGAAAAGACTCCAGGCAAAAGAAACATCCGGAGGATGGAAAGAATTGCCGGACCAGAGGCTGCTTGGTCCAGAGGCCCTGGGAAAGGAACTCATTTCCCAGACCCATCAGAGTACTCATCTGGGGGGAGCCAAGTTGGAAGAACTGCTTAAACAAGGTTATTATATTCCTAAACTCTATCAGGTCTTAAAGGTTATCGCAAGGAGATGTCACATCTGTGCACAGGTAAACCCCGGGAAGCGGTCCCATTTAATCGAGGAAACCGGACTCAGAGGGAAAAGAGCTGGAGAGCATTGGGAAGTCGACTTTACAGAATTACCCCCAGGTGTGGGAGGATATCGCTACCTGCTGGTTTTCGTGGATACATTCTCAGGATGGCCAGAGGCTTTCCCTACCAAGTCTGGAACAGCACAAGTAGTAGTAAAGAAATTAATCTCAGAACTTGTCCCCAGGTTTGGCCTGCCTGTTGCAATGGGGTCCTACAATGGCCCGGCATTCATTGCCCACATCACTCAGTTATCGGCAAGGATACTAGGTATAAATTGGAAATTACACTGTATCTATAGACCTCAGAGCTCTGGACAGGTAGAGAGGATGAATTGAACCTTGAAGGAAACCCTGACAAAACTAAAACTGGAGACTGCCGAAAACTGGGTAAGCCTCCTCCTTTTTGCCCTACTCTGGGCCTGTTGCATCCCGTATGTAAAGGGTGTCACCCCTTTTGAGATTCTGTTTGGTCGACCCCCACCGCTACTTCCCAAGCTAGGGGAAGAAATATTAGCATCCCTTTCTAATTATAACCTCCTGAAGTCCTTACAGGCTTTACAGTTGAGCTCCAGGCTTAATCACCAGCTGGTCCGAGAGCCTCACTGAGACCCACCCTCTGGTACCGGGCCTGGACCACCTCTCTTTCAACTGGGAGACCAGGTGTGGGTTCAGAAGCACGAGCCATCATCGCTGGAAGTCAGGTGGACTGGGCCCTTCACTGTCATCCTCAGCACCCCATCGGCCGTAAAGGTTGCCAGAAAGAGACACTGGATTCACCGAACTTAAGTAAAAAAGGCAGAATCCGAGGACCCCACTGAATGATGGGCCATCCAACGTACAGGGAACCTGGTTTGCCTGTACCTCCGGTATCACCCCCTGTATTTCCCCCTTGACTCTCATCCTCCCCATCCCCCCTGGAGAGCCTTCTCTATGCATCCTCACTCACATCTTGCCTCAGGTGTACTATTACTCTGGGGAGGGAGGGAGAGAACATTATGTCTGCTCGGAGGCAGAGAAAACGGGCCCTGGTATTGACTCCCCTTTTAGTAGGCTTAGGGGTTGCCGGCTCCACTGCGATGGGAACAGCAGCTCTAGTAACAGGAAATCAGAATGTTAAGGCCCTCAGCAGCCAAGTAGATCAAGATCTGAGCACACTGGAACAAAATGTAGATAGACGTGAAGATTCCCTCAGTTCCTTAGCCGAAGTAGTATTACAAAATAGGAGAGGGCTCGACCTGTTGTTTCTAAAACAGGGAGGACTATGCATGGCCCTAGGGGAGACCTGTTCTTTTTATACTAAACACTTGGGAGTTATCAGGGAGAGCCTCAGTCAGCTAAGGAACAGGCTACAAGATAGAGAGGAAAGGAGAAAGTCGGAAGGAAACTGGTATGAAGACCTCTTCTCCTGGTCCTCCTGGTCACCACTCTCCTAACCGCCTTAGCTGGGCCATTAGTACTCCTATTATAACACTAACTTTCGGGCCGTGCATACTGAACTGCTTAATGAATTATATTCAACACAGAATACAAGCAGTCACATGAACGGTCCTAAGAACTCACTAACAAAGAATAAGAAGAAACAATGATTTGATTCTCCTGTAAAACCAGTGGGGAATGTTACAGAGTAGGACAATGTTGAGGCCTGCTCAATTATCTAGCCACCTCAGCAGCTGGACGGCCTGTGCAAAGTTTCTAGGAACTGAGCTCCCACACCTGAGCTATGGCCCACAAAGAACACACAGATCAGCACTCCTGGGCAGCTGGCCCACAAACAACAAACAGATCAACACTCCTGGGCAACAGGCCCATAAAGAAAACACAGATCAACACTCCTGGGCAACAGCCCATCAAGAACAAACAGATCAAAATTAAGAATAGTCTTTACCTTTAAGTTACCCAGATGTGAATAACAGGAGGAGGATGAGTAGCTTGGCTAAAACTACACAATTAGCTTTTGTCACTTGGCTTTGCTTGCTATGGGAACCTGAGCACGGATGTCGTTGTCCCCTTTAAACATTGGACTCTGCAGATGGTCGGGGCCGCTTCTGTCTTGGGCTTCCCGAGTGGAGGAGCGGACACTGGCCAGTCAGTAAAGGCTCTAAATTGTAATCAGTCTGGAGTCTGGTCATTCTGTAGCTCGCGCTCCATAACATTGTCAGGACTCCTTGAGCCCCAAGGACAGCTCTTTGCAGCTCAAGCAGCTAATGGTGAGGAGAACGTCTGGCAGGTGAAGAAGGGGCGCCTAGACTGGGCTGGAAGCAGACCCCAGCCAGGGTGGGAGTCCTGTCCTGTCCTGTCCCTAGGGGAAATGGCCCGCCACCCCTTCAAAGTGCTGGGCCTCAGGGCTCAGCGCGGGGCGGCGGGGGGCGGGGCGGCGGGGCGGGGGCTGGGCCTGAGGTCTGAGCCAGAGCTGGGAGCCCTGCGACATGGAGTGCTGGCTGGTTCTGCTGCTCTGGGGTCTCCCACAGATGTGGGCAAGTCCTGACGGTGAGTGGAGCAAGGATGCCTGGGCACGGATCTGGGAGACCGCGAGAGGGAGCTGGGCTGGGAACGGGTGCGACGCATGAAGGGCGCGGATGGAGGCGCCTGCATCTCGGAAAACTAAGCCGCCTGCTCACTTGGGGCTCCGGGCCTCGGCTCCCGGCTCCCGGCTCCAGGGGTGCGGGATGCCGGGGAGCTGGACGACACCACCCCTCCTGCCCAAGGCCATCAGTTTTGTTTGTTTTCTTCCTTCTTAAGCTCTGCGCCCTCCCGGGCCCTCTGATCGCCACTTTCCGGCCGCGCCTCCAAGCAGCACCCGCCTCCGCGTCCTCCATACCTCGCCCTTTGCCAACAGCAGCTGGACGCGCACAGATGGCTCTTTCTGGCTGGGGGCGCTGCAGACCCACTCTTGGAGCAATGGCTCAGACATCAGCTTCCTGAGGCCCTGGTCCCAGGGCAAGTTAAGCGACCATCAGTGGGAGCAGCTGCAGCAAGTGTTCTGGGTGTACCGGAGCAGCTTCACCAGGGAAATCCGGGGATTCGCCAAAATGCTGCACTTGGACTGTGAGCTGAGGGATGGGCCCCGGGCAGCTGTCCGCGGGGAGACAGCGGAGGCAGAGGCCCAGCTGGGAGACTCTGGCCTCACGGGATGGGATGTTCTCATTTCCACTCCTGCCAGGAAGGTCCCAGCCACTGACACCCCAAAATATCGCTGGTTCCTCCTGCCCTGGGTCACCCCCTCTCATTTCCCGGAGCTTTGGGTGGTATAGCCCTCACATCCATGTCTTCTTTGGTTGTTCCCACCTGTTAAACCGTTTGATCTCTGTCCGTTCCTCTCCTCAGATCCCTTTGTGGTCCAGGTGTCCGCGGGGTGTGAGGTGCAGCCTGGAAGCCCCCTAAAAAGCTTCTTCCACTCGGCATTTCAAGGAAGCGATATATTGAGTTTCCAGGGAACTTCTTGGGTGCCAGCCCCCGATGCCCCACATGGAGCTGAGGTGGTCAGCAACGAGCTCAACAAGGACCAATACATCAGGGACACATTAGAGTGGCTCCTCAGTGACATTTGCCCCCAATTAGTCACGGGCCTCCTTGAAGCAGGACAGCAGGATCTGGAGAAGCAAGGTCAGCCTGCATGTCTCCCCCCCCCCCCCCCGGCCCCCCCCCAGTCCCTCCTCTGTGGGGCTCCATCTGGGTTTTCCATTCGAGGGTTTCCATTCCTTTGAGCCTTGGAAGAGAAAGGCTCAGGTTGGGATGGCTAAGGCCTGAGGGCATTTATTCATTCCATAGTACTCACTGAGCAACCTTTGGGTTTGTGAGTTCAGTTAAATAAGCTCTGGGGTCAAACAGGATCTTTGCTTGAGGGGGAGGATGGGAGGACAAGCAGTAAAGCAGTGTGGGACACTTGGATATGTTACAGCTGAGCACAGGGCGCTCTAGGAGCGTAGGCAGGGGCGATTACAGGAGACTGGGTCAGGGAGACGCCAGCACAAATGGATGACGTGATGGGAGCCTTCATTTCCTGCGGGGGGACTGTGGGCTGCCTGAGTCAGCCACGGATCCGGAGACTCTAATGCACAGGCCCCACTCCCTTGTTGGATACAGTGAAGCCCGAGGCCTGGCTGTCCAGTGGCCCCCCTCCTGGCCCTGGCCGTCTGCTGCTGGTGTGCCACGTCTCAGGATTCTACCCAGAGCCTGTGTGGGTGAGGTGGATGCGGGGGCAGCAGGAGCAGCCCGGCACTCAACAAGGGGACGTCCTGCCCAATGCTGACGAGACCTGGTATGTCCGAGTGACCCTGGACGTGGCGGCTGGGGAGGCAGCTGGCCTGACCTGCCGAGTGAGACACAGCAGCCTCGGAGGCCAGGACATCGTCCTCTACTGGGGTGAGAACTAGGGCCCCGCAGGGAGGGATGTGGTTCTGAAGCACAGAGGGAGGGACAGGGAAGGGTGGGAGTGGACTGATGCAGGACAGAGGGGTTTTGGTGATGAGGCCCTGACCAGGATGGAAAAAGGAGGGGATCCGGGTACAGGACAGAGGGGAATGAAGATCTCAACTCAAAAGACACTGAGGCAGGACGTTCCATATGAAGAAAAGTGAGACTAAAAGGCTCCCAGTTTCAGAAGTAGGCGGCACATGAAGAATCCCAGGGAGACTTATTCCTCAGGAGAGGGGATGGGAGCAGGAGAAGGCAGGATACACAGGTAGCTGTGGTTCTCCGGCTGCTTCCTGTGCGTGAGCTGAGCACCCTGCCCACAGCATGCCATCCAGTCACCTCTCCTCTGAAGCAAGTATTATTCTCACTTTATAGATGAGAACCTGAGGCTCAGCTAGGTCAAGTCACTGCCCACAGCCGCATTGTTAAAAAGAGGAAAGCTGGGCTTAGACCAGGGGTGGGCAAACTTTTTGACTCGAGGGCCACAATGGGTTCTTAAACTGGACCGGAGGGCCGGATCAAAAGCATGGATGGAGTGTTTGTGTGAACTAATATAAATTCAAAGTAAACATCATTACATAAAAGGGTACGGTCTTTTTTTTTTTTTAGTTTTATTCATTTCAAACAGGCCGGATCTGGCCCGTGGGCCGTAATTTGCCCACGGCTGGCTTAGACTCAGGACTGCCTCGCTGAAGAATTACTGCCCTTCCCCTATATGCTGTGCTATATAAGCTGAAATGGAATGCATTACGAATGCCCAGGCTCTGAGAAAAGCTGGGCCCTACAAACTTCAGGGGAATATAAGTGGCCACTTTTATTGTTCTTATTAAAAAACATATATATATATATATATATATATATATATATATATATATATATATATTGATTTCAGAGAGGAAGGGAGAGAGAGAGATAGAAACATCAATAATGGGAGAGAATCATTGATTGGCTGCCTCCTGCACACCCCACACTGGGGATCAAACCCGGGCCTGTGCCCTGACCGGGAATCAAACCCTGACCTGGTTCATAGGTCGATGCTCAACCACTGAGCTACACTGGCTGGGCCTGAAGTGACAACTTTAAATGGGAGAGGAAATAAGCTCCTGGCACCCTCACATGTGCTGAGACCAGGTGGCTTGAGCTAGGGAGGAATCCCGGGGCTGAGAAACTCCTGTGTTCCTGAAGCAGAGGGGAGTCATGTGCCGGTGGGCTGGATCGTCGCAGCAGTACTGGCATCCCTCCTTCTGGTAGGCGGAGGCGTAACCTTCTGGCTTAAGAAGCGCAGGTGAGTCTTCTTTTTCCATCTCCTTTCCTCAGCCTTTGTCCCCATTCCCTCTTCCTTCCATCCCCTCTTCCACTTTTCTGAATGGTCTCTCCCTGGCTGTTCTCTCACAGGTCATATCAAGACATCCTGTGACTATCCTCGCCACACCTGTCTGCAACTCAGGATCTCTGGTTCCCAGGACTTCCCTACCCAGGACTGGAGGATGAAAGAGAGGTGCCTCGAGGAAGCAGAGAACAATCCCAAGACAGCTCGCATCACACCCCTTGGCTACTTTAAGAGAATTTAAGCATCCTGCCTGTTTAGAAGCTCACGTGGTTCTTAAGAACAGAAGTGCAAACTCAGATACCTACCAGGGACAAGCAGAGAAGGGCCGAAGCGCGGGCACCTGTGGCCATTGTTTAAACACTAGAGTCTGCAGAGACCTGGAAAGCACTTGTCCTGTACAAGGGAAGCAGATTCCTTGTTGTCAAATAGGAAGTCAGACCCTGGGTTGGCTGTGACCTACATTTTTCAAGAAAAGCGGAAGTCTGGATTTTCATGTGAGCATACCTGATATTAAAATATTGACTCAAACTTTTACACAGTTTAGGGTGTGGAACCCCAAATACACCTCTGCTAGTTAACAACAACTTGTGGCGCTTTCAGTTTGTATCTTTTGGGAAAGCTTGTGGTGAATGTCAATATTGGCAGTTTGAGGACATAATTTCCATTGTGAATTTGGATTTATAAAGGATATTTCATCTTTAAAAAGAAAGTTAGGTCAAGGAAACAGAGGTATCCCGAGCTTTTATGTAACTTGATTAAGAGAGGAGAGATCCTAGTGTGTGTGTAGGATATGGAAAGAACGACTCTGGGGAGGGATATTTCTCACCAGTGGGCAGTCATTTTAATCAGACTGGAAGAGGCAGTCATGAAGAGACCCCCCAAACAGGCTCTCTTACTTCTAGCTAATGAGGCAATGCACGAAAGGGGCTGATCATACCTGGGCAAGCCTGAGGTGTAGTGATGTCGGCCTAGCTGTCTTCGTGCTTCTTAGACAGGAGGTAACAGGAAGCTAAGAGAACAGCAGACCTTTCTGGAGCCCAGAAATGAAAAGGTCAAGTTAAAATGATCAGTTGGCTCTCAGGAAAGTCGCCTCTAGGCACTCCAGGGCTCTGAACATCCAGAAACAGAGAGGCTGCCCTTTGGAAGAGTCTTTGCTTGAGGAAATGAAGATTTGGCTTCTTCTCTGCTGGACTTGCAGGTCAAACCTAGAATGCAGGTGAAGAACCTGCTGGCTTCTGAACCAATGGTTCCCAAATTGTGGTTTCCTGACCAGTGGCCTCGGCATCACCTGGGAACTTGTGAGTTATTTTGGGCCCCACCCCAGAGCTACTGAATGGGAATCCTTGGGAGTGGGACCCAGTTGTCTGTGTGTTAAGCCCTCAGGTAATGCTGATATTCAGCTAAAGTTAGAGAACCACTGTTCTTAGACATGTGTCATGCTGTGCAACAAATTTCTCAGAATGCTTAGTGAGAATATTGGCTTGGGTTAGTCAAGGAAGGCTTCATGGACGAAAGGGAACTCGAAGCAGGACTTAGCAAGGCGGGTAGGTGAACCAGCAGGTGCACTGGATCAGGAGACTGGCGTTCTAGCCTCTGACTCAGTTTCCTCCTGTGCCCATTGGGGCTAATAATGTCTGTCTTGGTTGCGCTACTGATTATATGTGTGTGTGCGCCCCGGTTCGTATGCTAGAAATCCAATAGCCAGGGTGATGGGTACTAGAAGGCGGGGCCTCTGGGAGGTGACTCAGTCATGAGGTCTGAGCTCTCACATGGAATCAGTGCTGTTAGAAAAGAGGTCCCTTCACTGTGTGAAGACAGCAGAAGATGCCATCTAGGATGCAGGCAGTGGGCCCTCATCAAACCCTGAATCTTCTGGCCCCTTGATACTTGACTTCCCAGCCTCCAATCTGTGAAAAATAAATTTCTATTGCTTATTAGCCACCCAGTCTGTGTTATTTTGTGATAGCAGCCCAGATGGATAAAGACAGATTTTCTCATAGACTTGTTGTCTCCTAGACAAATGTGTGAAATGTGTGGCAAGCTGCAATGCCTTCAGAAACGTGTGACCTGCTATTGTTTTTGGTGCCACACTGCCCTTGGGAGATGCTCTTCAGCTTAGCTTCCTCAAGCAGTGTCAAGTTTGCGAATGTATCCCACTGGGCTTTTACTTTCCCAGGCTCTTCTGAAATCATTTTGGAAATGCTTCAGCCTGAATTTACAGCGGCTCTGGTTCGTTTTTAAGCAATTTTGATTTATTTGGAAAGTAAACGTTTATCCAGAAAATTTTGTCCTCTTTTTTCAAATAGGCAGTTCCTATCATCTCAGGAAATTTATTTTAAAATAGGTTAATATTCTATGTATGAATATCATGTTCCTCATTGAGTGCTGTGCTGTTAGTTACTTTATTGGCACTCAAATTTATTGCTATAAGTTCTAAATTCATCGTTATGTGCTCAGTGATAATGGATGGAATTCCTCATTATTTCTCCTTTAAAGTCAGCACAATGTTAAGCTTTTACAGTAGAGGGCCCCGGAGAGACACTGCAGGAAGAAGGGGCTCTCCTGCAGTCACCAGATACTACATGGCAGGTCATACTGTGTTTTGTCATACTGCCTCAGCCGGCCTGCTGATTAAATGTTTGTGTACCCCCTGACTCATATGTTAGAAATCTAACAACCGGAGCTCATGGACACTTGGTTGACTTTGCAGCCTAAACCTGGCAAGGACCTTTTCATAGCCCCCTTAAAAAAATTATCTCTATCCCTATCTCTATCTCTATCTCTATCTCTATCTCTATCTCTATCTCTATCTCTATCTCTATCTCTATCTATATTGATTTCAGAGAGGAAGGGAGAGGGAGAGATAGAAACATCAACGATGAGAGAGAATCACTGATCGGCTGCCTCCTGCACACCCCCTACTAGGGATTGAACCTGCAACCCAGGCAAATGTCTTTGACCATTATGGAACCTGGGACTCTTCAGTCTGCAGGCCGACACTCTATCCACTGAGCCAGACCAGCTGAGGCAGCCCTCTTGACATAATGGATAGATCTTCCAGACAAAAAAAATCAATAAGGAAATAGCAACTTTAAATGACACACCAGGATGTCAGAGGAATGGTGGTGTGAGAGATCCCTTTGTTTCTCCCCATGAAATTTCAACAAGTTGATCAGCTATCACTCAACAAAGGGCTCCCTGCTCACAACACAGGCATGTCTGAGAGATCCATGCATTGAAGCCTCCAAAGGTGCACAAATGGGAACAATCGGGAGGCAAGAAGGGAGGAGAGCTAAGAGGGGAAGGATGCAGCTGCATAGCTTGGCCCAGAGAGGGGAGGAGCTGGCTGTAGCTGGCGCTCCCTTGGCTGTGTGGTGCAGAGAATCTCCGGAGGCCAGTCCTCATGGAGTGAGTGGTGCAAACTGTAGATGCTGAGAGGCTTGGCAAGGACGAAGCACAGAGGTTCTTCTGAGGTTGTCGGAAGGAATTTATCAGCAGGCAGTTGGTGATCCAAACTAAGAAATGGAGCCACAGAGCCCTGCTGTCACTTAGACTCCCCCAAATTGTCTCCCCCTGCGCTTGGTGCTGGGATGTGGGGCACATTATCTGCAAACCTGAGAACTGCTATGCAGGATTGTTATGTATCTCTGTGACTGATCCCTGATTGGGACGTATTGGGGGCGGCCCTGTGGAAGTCCGGGGTTGCCAATACTGAGAGGGAAAAACAAACTTCACCCCCCAACTTTGCAGCCATACTATAAAGGCAGCTGCAGAGGTCAGCTTGGGAATTTCACAGAACTAAAAAACTTGTGATTCAGTGCCACCTACTGGAAAATAATAGAAATATCTCTTCATAGAAACCTGCTAAAGAAGTGTCAATACATAGCTGCCCAGACAGAGAGGGAGCCCAGCCCGCCAAATAGCAAGTTAGTGAGGCAGTTCAGAAAGAAAATGAAAAATCTCCAGCAAGCAAACTGGAACACATGGAAATATGTGATATAAATGACAGAACTCAAGATTGCAGTTCTGAAAATACTCAATGAGATGAGAGAACTTGATTCACTCAGAGCACAAAACACTTTACCAAAGAGATTCAAACTTTAAAAAAGAACCAAACAGAAATTCTTACCAAGCATATTCTCTGCCAACAATGCCTTGAAATTAGAAATCAACTGCAAAAAGAAAGTAAAGAAACTCAGAAATATGTGGAGATTAAACAGCATACCACTAAAAAGTGGCTGGGGCAAAGAATAAATAAAAGGTGAGATCAAAAGCTATATAGAGACAAATGAGAATGACAATACGACATATCAAAACTGTGATGTGCCCAGCAGGTGTGGCTCAGTGGTTGAGTGTTGACTCATGAACCAGGAGGTCAGTTCAATTCCTGGTCAGGACACATGCCCAGTTGCAGGCTCGATCCCTAGTAGGGCGTATGCAGGAGGCAGCTGAATGATGATTCTCTCATATCATTGATATTTCTCTTTCTCCCCCCCTCTCTTCCTAATTCAGAAATCATTAGTAACATATTAAAAAAAACAACAAAAAAAAACTTCTGTGATGTAACTAAAGTATTAATAAGAGGGAAGACATCATTATAGGCCTATCTCAAGAAAGAAGAGAAATACCAAGTAAACTAATCCAAAATAAAGGACAGTGAGGTAACTGTTTTTGCTTTATCTAAATTTTAAAATGAATATGCAGAGCAGCAAAACCAAACCAAAATAAAATATTTAGTAGATACTACTGCATATAGTGGCATTTATATCTATACAAGTTAATAAGGAAAAATTGCCTTTTTGTAAAAATAATGGCTACACAAGGTAACTTTCAAAAGCAAAACGGTTACAGGTAAAATTCAACATTTGATTTGCCAATTAGTTTTTGCTCTGTATAATTTATATATAAAGAAGAATTGATCTGTCTGAATATCCTATATATAGTAAAAGGCTAATTGCCAATAGACCAAACGGCAGAACAATCAGTCTCTATGATGTGCACTGACCCCTGGTGGTCAGTGCACTCCCACAGAGGGAGCACTGCTCAGCCAGAAGCCCTGAGCCAGGCTCATGGCTGTGATGGGAGCCTCTCCCACCAGCATGGCAGGGCTAAATGTCAGTCAGACATCCCCAAGGGCTCCTGGACTGTGAGAGGGTGCAGGCTGGACTGAGGGACCACCCTCTACCCCCCGAGTTCACGAATTTCGTGCATCGGGCCTCTAGTACTTCTAATAAAATATATATCAATTTGGATAAATAGAAATTATGTAACTGTGATTTTAGAATAATGAAATTAAATTGATTTAATGGAGTTTACTTGGTATACTTTCTTATACATATTTTAACTTGAAGATTACAGTAGAGGAATTAACAAAAACTGGAGAAATTACGATTTTAGATTACAAATGCGACATAGAGATTTTATGTGAGGCTTACTGTAACTATGGGGAAAAATATAGGGTAAATATCCCAGAGTCAAGCTTCACACATCAATATAGTGTACTTGCAAGTTGCAGTATTCAGTTTGCCTTATCTTCTTTTTTATTTTTTTAAAAATATATTTTATTGATTTTTTACAGAGAGGAAGGGAGAGGGATAGAGAGTTAGAAACATTGATGAGAGAGAAACATCGATCGGCTGCCTCCTACACATCTCCCTACTGGGGATGTGCGCGCAACCAAGGTACATGCCCTTGACCAGAATTGAACCTGGGACCCTTCAGTCCGCAGGCCGAGGCTCTATTCGCTGAGCCAAACCGGTTAGGGCTTGCCTTATCTTCTTAAAGTGGTGGGTTCAGGCAACGGTCCCAACAGATGCACATCTGTGGCTTCAGGTGAACAGCTGCACACCAGGCATTGGGTTTTTAATTCAGAATAGAGTGAAGGTGAGCAACATAGAATTTCACAGAAATTCCTCTCCAAACTCCAATAAAAAGATGTAACTTTGATGCTTGTGAATGTCTATATTGACTAGGAATCACTGGGAGTTCAACAGTTACTGAACAGACTGGCCTCCTGAAGATTTCCTATGAAAAAATAATTGACTTGTTTTGTGTATATATTATATTTTTTATTTGTTTGTTCATAAGAACCTGCTTGTATCAGTCACCTTTTCTGTCCTGCCTCACATCTTCTCAGCCTACTTTCCCCACAGGCATTGCAAGGCAACAGAACCTAACTTTAGCTTCATTGCATGTGTATTGTGTGTTTCTTTGTTTTTAATGTTAATTAATTGATTTATTTTTAAATTGAATTTATTGAGGTGACACTGGTTCACCAAACCATATAGGTTTCAAGTGT